ATCTCCCCTCTGGCTCTAGGTGCTGCTTCGGATGCTGCTTCGTCCCTCTCTTTGTGAAGCTCTTCAAGGACGCAGATCATTACTGCCCATGCTGCCAATTTCACATTTATAGATACAAAAGACTATAGAAACAAAGTTTATGCAACCAGATGATGTAAAGCCTCCTTTCCTAAAGGCATAAGATTCTGCACATAAAACTACTGCTTGGAAACCCACAGGACTATGCTTAGGTTCTGCAGCTCCCTTGTTGGTGAACCCACCTGGTAAACTCCAGTTTTCTACCACACGGTTGGACTGGCTTTAAAACAAAAACCACTTCAAGACTAATTCACAGTGTCACTTAATTTATGCTCTATTTGACTTGCTGCCCTGTGCTGTGACGTTTCCAGCTGCTGAGTACTCCAGCTCCTCTCAAATCTCCCACCCAGCTGGGACACAGACACCTCTGGACCTCTCAGCCCACCACTAACCATGGTTTGGACATGGATGTTTCAGAGAAGCTCTTACCTTCTCTGCACTGGAACTGACTGCTTGGGATTTCATTGCTCTTCTCCCTGCAGGACCTACCCCTGCAGGGCTGTGGGCAGTACAGTGTAGCTGATTATTTATTAACAAAACACTAAGTTATGAGACTGTCTTTACTCTGTTACGTATGAGCTAAGAAAATAAAGCTGTTACTGTTTACAATACTGGCAAAACATCTGCTGTCTGCCTTGCTGCCATGCCCCGCTGCACCCAGAGCAGAGATGCAGGTCATGGGACACCCCTTTTACATTAACAAGCTACAGTCCAAAAGGCAAACACACAAAGATGAAAAATCAGCAAACACAGCTTGAAAAAATCACCACAAGGCCTTGATTTTACCTCTTGGCCTCTCTGCACTGCAGTGAATCACCTCCCAAAGCAGGACTTTTTAGACTTTACCTTTACACAGAACTTTACAGTCACTTATCTGGTGAAATCAAATATCTGCAATTACAGTGCCCAGGAGGTGCCCAGACCCTTCTCAACACTGACAGTAGCAGCAGCTGCTGCAGCTTATTGCTGGCTGGAAAAATTAGCAGAGGAAGAGAAGTCTATTTCGTGTATTTCCTTGCTGTAACATCATGAATACTTTGACATTGGCACAGGGATTGCTGAGGGCAGGGGGATGCACGGCAGCAGCTCTGGGCTGCTCCCCAACCCTGCCCTGGGCACCAGGGCTGCACCACCGGCCACTGAAAGAGCTTAAAGAGCTCCTTGTCCAAACCCTGTCCCTGCAGTGACCACTGTCCTGTCCCTGCAGTGACCATTGCCCCTGTCCCTGCAGTGACCA